TACGTACCAGCACACAACTAATAGATTGTAAACATATGAAATGATCGAGGGAAATAATTTACTCAGAAAACGAAATAATTCAAATTTTGAAGGTCTCTTCACGCAGCTTCATTGCACTTGATAGTTTGCAGGCAACCTTCCTACACTGAAGAGAGCACTGCATTTCACACAAATCCATTAGAAATATCACTTCAACGTTTTGGTCTTCATGACCATTATCCAGAATAAAGTAGACATGGAAAAAACAGCAGTACAAAACAAGGAAACAAAGCGCGGTACCTAGTGTTAAGTGAGAGTGCGGGTAGAAAAGTGCAAAGCACGTCATGGCTGGTACATTGCTACATGTATATGTACATGACAACACAGACACAAACGACGAGGAAAGTAGATATTGCACTACAGCAGTGATACAAGCACAACTCCAGTCTGACACATCCAGTGAGGTGTGTAGAACCCCGCGCCACTCGCAGTAAAATATTGACAGTGATATTGATGCGGGCAGAACGCACAGGTCAGTACCATATCATCCCATGCACGATGCTGTAGGTAACTGAGTATTGTAGACCATGGTAGAATGTGGTGGGGAATACCCCATAAGAGTGGTAGCCTAGGTCCATGTAAGTGAAGGCATGCATTGCCCACACACATGTGCCGAGTTTATCATCCATAACGCATGCTAGAAGCTAGTAATATGTCCGCACACGTCGGTTTATAGCAGGCCCCAGCCCCTGTTGTTGTTGATTTCCAGGGTTCGCTCCCTGATGTTGATGGCCTATCGGATCCTCCGCCTGGGGCAGTCACGCTCAGAACCAAGAACCTGGATACCGGAGAAGGCTGTTGCTCCCAATGGTAATGTCTCTGATGAATGCAAAATGGTCACCCAGCGCGGTGCCGATCACTGCACCGCGCAAGAGTCGTCGTTGTGTTCTCGCTCCACATATACTGGCATACACAGAGACATAGACAGCAATAGGGACAACACACAAAGTGAAGGGTAGTTGGCCGCAGCCAGATGTGACTGAAGAAGTCAGGAAAAGAAGCGACAATAAAGAACACACCAGATGCCATATTTGCAACTGAAAATATTTCGCGAGAATTACAACTTCTTTAGTTCTGGTGGCGAGGCTGCGGTAAGTCTCCCCGACATATCTATTATGACATTTGCACTCGAGGTGGCAGTGTCTGCTCTAGGATTGTAGGACAGCCAGGTAACGTGTACCTGGCGCAACCATTTCAACCGGGTTGGAGCCGGGTACACATGTACCTGGCGCTGTCTCACCAGCCGAGTCACATGCTAACTGGTTGGTTGGTTCATTTTAATTCGGACAATAAACGGGAACTAGGCCCAATGATATAAAGGCGAATGGCTAAGCCGCATTTAGAAAAAGAGAGGACAGGAATTAGAAAATTACGAAAGAAGAAGAAGTATCTGACACATACAAGCCATGTAGATAGTCTTTTCAAAGTTCGAAAGTGTAAAGTACCAACCGGACTCGGTACTATCTTTTCAACCGGGTGCAAGCGCCGCCCAACCGGGTGGATTACCCGGCTCACCCGGCGCTGGAGCAGACACTGGGTGATACATGACGTTTCGCTTTGTGCGTGCTTCTGAACCAGACATGCAGGCGACATTAGCTGCTTTGTGTCGTCCCCGTTTACGGGGCTTGGACGGTTCTACATACCTGCGGCATGGTGGCTTGCTGAGGGCAGATGTGCAAATCATCGAACTTAGACGGCGGTTTCTGTAGATGAGCTGGGAATTTATCTTGTGCTAACGGAGTAATTTATGAATTTTGTTGTGGATAAATTCTGTGTGAAACGGTAGGTTGAGAGTGACTCGGTATTCATTTACCACCTCGAGTGCAAATGTGATGATAGATATGTCGGGGAGACTTACCGCGGCCTCGCCACCAGAACAAAAGAACACAACGACGACTCACGCAACGCAGCGAGTGGTACCGCGCTGGGTGCCCATTTTGCAGCCAGACATTCATCAGAGACATTACCATTGGGAGCAACAGCCTTCTCCGGTATCCTGGTTCTTGGTTCTGCGCGTGACCGCCGCAGAAGGAGGATCCGAGAAGCCATCAACATAAGGGAACGATCCCCGGAGATCAACAGCAACAGGGGCTGGGACCTGCTATGACCCTACCTATGCGGCCATTTTATTAGCTTCTAGTATGCTTTCTGGGTGATACACTCGGCACATGTGTGTGGGCAATGCATGCCTTCACTTACATGGACCTAGGCTACCACTCTTATGGGGTATGCCCCACCACATAATACCATGGTCTACATGCGTAAATATTCTTTCTTACTCAGTTACCTACAGCATCATGCATGGGATGTTGTGGAACTAACCCGTGCGTTCTGCCCGCATCAATATCACTGTCATTATTTTACTGCGAGTGGCGCGGGGTTCTACACACCTCACTGGATGTGTCAGACTGGAGTTGTGCTTGTATCACTGCTGTAGTGCAATATCTACTTTCCTCGCTGTATGTGTCTGTGTTGTCATGTACATGTAGCAATGTACCCGCCATGATGTGCTTTGCACTTTTCTACGCACACTCTCTCTAGGTACCGTGCTTTGTTTCCTTGTTTTGTACTGCTGTTTTGTCTATGTTCACTTCATTCTTGATGATGGTCATGCAGATCGAAACGTTGAAACGATACCTCTAATGGATTTGTGTGAAATGCAGTGCTCTCTTGAGAGTAGGCAGGTTGCCTGCAAACTATTCAACACAATAATTATCTTCTCTAACAATTGGACCCCCGAATGTTGAGCTCCTAATATAAAAAAATTTGGGCTGAAACGATCATTCAACAACTCCTAACGATCAACCAATATCATTAACGATCGATATATTGGTTTTATCGATTCTTGTCGGCTCTACTCGTGTACCTCGCACACCAGTTTATGAAGAAATTCCATGATACCTTTGGTACATTAGAAATTTGTGGCACCGCACTGTTGACATCTGTGGACATCTGGCTGGTTTATCAACATGAACTAGAGAATTTCATGTTGTTTCTACAGCAAAGAATCTTGTCATCACCCTCTGGCAACTGCTCTTATCTCCAACCTCTCACACAAATGAAAGAAAAAGACAAAGTCTTCTCTCCCGATCTCTTTCAAAGCCACAAATAAATTTTACCGCGCTTGGAAGTACATGATTGTACTCGTATTCACTATTGGATGGAGTGCAGGGGCTAGAATACTGTCACTGATATGCATGCATAATAAATCGTTAGCACTCGTTTTAAACACTAACGATTATTGATTGCACTCTTAACGATCGATATGCGAGTTATCGGTATAATTGTTACAGCCCTAAAAAAATATGTAAAACAGAGAAGGAGTGGAACACATGCATGGACACGAGTTAAGAGTAACTGTCTAACACTGTAACGAGATACTAGTGTACAGGTAGGTAGTGCAACAACTACATTAATTTTGTAGGCACAAACCTGACAGAGTACTGAGACATCAAATAACCTGATACAGTACCTAGCTCTCTAACGCATTTCCAAATCGCTGTGAAACTACTTGTTATTGTAGTCAACTCGTCCATCATAGTGTCCTAGAAATGAAGTGTGACATTCCTCATAACTTGCATTCATGTTTCACTTCACATTTCTAAATTCTAATAACAATGATAAAAGTGAATCCGGTTTACATGTCACTCATGCAACAATTCATGGGCTTAACGCATCTGTCCATGAAATCAGCTCAGAAGACAGGGGCATAGAAGAGCTTTTAAAATTGGTGCAACACCGGCCAAATGTTACTATGAGAAAGGGCCAGGAGGGGGGGGGGGTAATTTGGAAATAAGGCGTAAATACAGCATTCTTAGGCTGCTCTAGCAGAGTTTCAAGGGGAACGAGAGAGCTTGGAAGCTCAGGGCCCTACGCTATGCTTTTAATGTAAAAAGGCCAGAAAATCCGATTATAAGGAGATAAAAAGGAAAAGAAGGAGCAAACCAAAAGTGGATGAAGTGAGAGAAAGATAACAATCCGCAAAAAATCTGCAAATACTTTTGCCTAACTCATATTCAAACTGATTGAAACGTTTTTGCAATACAATGATGTAGCCAATTAACGGAAAAAAACATTTCCATCAGTTCTATAGAGTAACATGTACGATGAGCTAGGCAAAAAATGTCCTGATGTCTGTCCTGACGTTTTCTGTGACCGGCGCTGACTCTGCCGATCACGGGCGTTCTGGCCTCGACGGGATCTCTCTTCTGACGTTTCCTGTGACCGGCGCTAAATCGCCCGTTCACGCTTATTTTGGAGTCGACGAGATGTCTGTCCTTACGTTTCCTGTGACCGGCGCTGACTTTGCCGATCACGGGCGTTCTGGACTCGACGGTATCTCTCTTCCGACGTTTCCTGTGACCGGTGGCGAATTGCCCGTTCACGCTTATTTCGGAGTCGATTCTGCGTCTGTCCTGACATTTCCTGGGACCGGCGCTGACTCTGCCGATCACGGGCGTTTTGGAGTCGACAGGATCTCTCTTCCGACGTTTCCTGTGACCGGCGCTGAATCGCCGGTTCACGCTTACTTTGGAGACGACGGGATCTCTCTTCCAAAGTATCTCTTCTAAAGTCTGTTTTTGCTGATTCATCCTATCACCTATTCCGCAACTAGCGTCCATTCTAATTTTATTTCCTCCTCGTCTCCCTATTAATTTTCTTTCCAAATCTCCCTCTATATCAGGGAGTCGTATACATAATACGACGAATATTGTGGCCAGCTGTTTGTGGCCAGCTGTTATGTACAATCCTGTAGAACCTTTGTAGTCACAGATACGGGACAGATACGGTAACTCCAGGCGTGACACAAGCACACAAACAAACAAACACCAAATCACAGATATTTTTTTATTGGACAGATACGGTAGCTCCAGGCGTGACACAAACACACACACAAAAAAAAAACACCAAATCACAGATACGGGACAGATACGGTAGCTCCAGGCGTGACACAAACACACAAACACACAAACACCAAATTAAAGCTGTGTGGACCCTGGCTAGCGCCAGACGTTACTGAAGTAACGTCTTCTGCATAGCTACGGGAATTAAAGTTTCTTTTGAGCTACATTCTATTCGAGCACATCCAGTTAGTGAGAACTCGAAACGTTTTGTCCTTCTTTTTATCCATTCCTGAACATCCATTCTTATTTTCTTGTTCCAGCTATTCCGTGCAATACATCCAGCTTTCCTACACCTGTTAATGGTCAAATTGTTAGGGGTCATCACACAGTCCAGGTAAACAAGTCTCTGCCCATCACCTGTCACTATGGTTACACACCAAGCACTACCAACGCATCAGTGCAATGTCTTCTTGGAGAGATTTGGCAGACCACTAATATAACATGTGAAATTATCTCATGTGGACAACCTTCAAACATCTCCAACGGTAGCTACAATGGAACGAATTTTACCTATAATTCCACCGTGACCTATTCCTGTGATGATGCGTACGAGATAGCAGGAGGTCAGACAACTAGGACATGTGGTGTGAATGGTGATGAGGGAAAATGGGACGGAGAGCTACTGATCTGTAAAGGTATGGGGACGGCACTGATTTTAACATTGCTTTTCTTTCTGCTGCTGCTGCTGCTGCTGCTGCTGCTGCTACTGCTGGTGGTAGTGCTCCCGCTGCTTCTGCTTATGCTGCTGTTGATGCTACTGTTACTAGTGATGATTTTTGTATTATTTTTATCCACTTGAGCGCGGGGCTGTTTGTCAGTGCACCACGTAAGAAAATGGTCATTTTTTGGAAAAGTTTCAAACCTTGGCCATTCCTGAACATGTCAAGTCGTGAAATCTTTGGGAGCTACAACCACAGTCAGTGGTAGGTCGTCAGGCGAAATAGCACGTCATAGTACATTTGAGATCAGCGGGAAGAAGATGACGACGTCCACTAATTTGGTATCTATGCACACGAATCTGCTGTGTGTGTGACTCTGTGTGTCAGCTATGATATCATCTTCTGTGGTTCCATGCCTAGCATGTACGGCTGAACCATCCTGCAGAGTTTGAATGACGTAGGTTGAGCGATCGGTCCGCGAAACATACTTTTTGAAATTCTCTTCATAGTAATTCAGATAGCACCACAAACAAAAATATGACTTTTTGTGATAAGGTCTGTTTTCTCATCTGACGGCTCGTATATATTCCGCCATTGAAATTTCGAATTTCTTCAAAAAAAGTGCTGAGAGGGGTGGCTTGCAACCTCGATATGGCTTGTTCCAAGCATGCTTTGGAGCCATCTTCTGTTGAAGTAGTGGCGGGGATCTGCCCTGCAACTGCTACAACAAAAAATGATTCGATCTGAGAAAGGGTGAGACCGCGAATCTCGGTTGAATATTGAGTATTTCAAGCCTTTTCACGACGAAGATGAAGTTCTTTTTGGAGATGGACGTCGCGGCAAAAGACATGGTGTCCGACTTCTGGCGTCTGGTGAAGCCAGGGATCATTTGTCCAGTCAGGTCGGCAGCCTAACCGTCGGTAAGCTTGTGTTTGGATCCCGTTCTGCTCGATGTGGTAGATCACAAACAATTTGATATCGCACAAATTGATCTCAGCATCGTGCGTACAGTATTTTATATTCAGAAAATCCCAAAGTGTCTCTGTGTGGCCGTCCTATGCCACGAGAAACTCCAATCAGGCTCCTATGTCCTCTGCCTTCATGATTGAATGTCCACTTCGTTTGAACAACGAACACAACAATCGAGGACAGCTTTGCAATGAAAAATACAGCTATACTGGAGCTGAAAAAAAGAAAAAACGTGCTCAGGATGAGACTCGAGTACACGCATACTCTCCCAGCAGGTGAAACGCAAATTTTTGTGAAAAATGTGTGTCGCCGACTGACCAGTAATTTCGCCTGACATATGACCCAGACCAGCCACTCGACAACAAGAACAAAAGTCAAAATCGGCCAAGGCACGCCAGGCCGAGCGGCATACTCAGGTCGATTTTTGAGAAATTGCTCCAATTGCGTGGTATGCGAGCGTAAAAAAGAGAAAAAAGAGGTGTACTGTTTGCTGAACATCGACAGCTGGGAACTGAACCCTAGACCTCTCGTACACTAGGCATAAACACTACCACTCGGTTAACAAGCCTGAAGACTCCACGGCTCCACGGCTTCTTGCTACGTGAAGCATGAGAAGGAGAAGAAGCGTCGCTATGAGCAGCGCATCCGCGATATTGAGCACTCGTCATTTGTTCCCGCCGTTTTCTCTACCACTTGTGGTTTGGGTAAACACGCTGATGCGCTCTACAAGCAGATTGAATCGCTCCAAGCGGTGAAGAGCGGGGAAGCGTACATCTCTGTTATGGCTTGCATCAGGTGCAAATTGAGTTTTGCCCTTCTGCGGTCAAGTGTTATGTGCTTGCGCGGATCTCGGAATCTGTGTCCGATGCAGTTGGACTCCAGCTCACCTCCTACCTTGGTGGTTGCTGTGATATTCAACAACAATGTTGCCCTTTGTACATGTATTATGTAGAATTACTCAAATCTGTGGACAGCAACTGTTTCGCTCTGTTAGAGCTCCTCAGCACAGCTCAGAGGACCGAAGCGCAGCTCTTCGCAATGAAATACGTTTCCATGTATAATTATGTACATGTACATCATTGTTGGAACTGTGCAGTTCCCTTATTAGAAAGTTATATGTATTCAAACTAGTGAAGATCATTATGTATTCATGTACCTATTGAAGTTTTTACCAGGCGTGGGCCATCCCCTGATTTCATAGGTGCCAAACATTTTTACGTTTTTTCAAAAAACAAGAGTTTTGAAACGAGAAAAAAAAGAAGACTGAAGCTAGCTATAGGCTATTAGTCTGCATAATTATAAGCTCATGACATACTAGCACGTCATCCGTGGGTCACTGTGTGGGTCTTATGACGTACTACTGTCGTGGACATGGAAATCCGGTCGCACGTCTAGCAGCCCCAGGTACATGTAGGTTTTCCACAAATCGGCCCGTTTTTTTCCCCTGTTCGGCTTTTTTTCGCTAAGGAGGGCCCAATTATGCTCAAAAATTTCGCATATTATACTTTTCGCATATTGGCCACTTGCTTCAAATATGCTTCGAAATCACACAAAAGCAGAAAAATATGCTCGAAATATGCGCGAAATATGCTCGAATTATGAACTGATATCAGTGATAATTATGCGAATTCTTTGCTCCTTGTGGCAAAATATGCTACATTTGGTACAATATGCTAGATTTTCTACTTTATGCGACCTTGAGTCGCGGACACTCTCTCCTCGGGTCAATTTTTCGCCCTGTGTTTGGATGAGCATTTTTCCTTCCGGGCTCGTTTTCGGCAAATTTTGTTTGGCCGGCCGATAGCCCTTTCCCACAGGTGCTCTTTTAATTCGCACTTAGTGCTTTTCGCGTCCCTCAAAATATGCTGAAAAGTGCTCGTTTTTCAGTGAAAATAGGCAAAAAGTGCTCTTTTTTCAATGAAGCATAGCCATGACACATGTTCAGATATGAACCCAAGCTGAGAAATGAATACCCACTCTTCCATTTATGGGTCCACGAAAGGCAAAACAGGAAGTAAAGTTCAAAAACCTCACTTTATACAGCATTGTGTACAAGCTTCACCAACTTGTTGCCCCCCCCCAAAAAGCGGCGTGCCAAGGTCCATCGAGCACTCGGAAACTGCCATCGCTTGCATGAGCAAACAGATTTTAGCACTTTTCAGCTCAAAAAGCTCAAAAAGGACGATATTCACCAAAAAACGCAATAAAGGGCGAAAGAAACTAGCTTTTCCAAAAAGGGCGAAAAAGAGGGCGAGCACCTTTTGGGAAAGGGCTACCGGCCGATTTGGGGAAAGCCTATCGATCGGTCATGCTTACATACAGCAACATCTTTCGTTCGTAAACGCACATTGCAACAAAATTTTGTTAGATTTTCGGCGATTCTCAAAGGAACCCTCCAAAATCGGCGAAAAGCTTAGCGATTTTCGATAAGTCTCATTTCGGCGAATTTTTCAGCCAGACGATTTGGGGAAAGCCTAGCACCAGGGCGCTGGCCATGCAGCCGTGGATAAGCAGTACACACATGCATTTATGCGCTGCAGCGCGCTGGTCGCATTGGATCAACATGTGCACTGGACGCAGCGTTCTGTACGCGCTGAGGGCGCTGGCCCCGGTCTATCGACTGGATTTCCATGTCCGCTATAGTAGCACATCATCCGCGCTCAAGGGGTTAAGATGTTGATGCTGGTGCTGTTTTAGCACTAACTCATATCCAAGGCAAAGAAACTCATTTACAAAGCGATGGTAGAGACTTGGAGGGATTTAAAACATTGATAGCCATTGTGTAATGTTAATTTTAATTTTGGTTTGAATCGCAGTGAAGAGGCGGTTTTGGAGTTGAGAAGTGAAGTTTAGAGATAGCCATTGTTGTACTTCAAAAGTAGGCAGTGTTTTCTCCGGAAATGCCATAGATTGGCATACTGCAACAGCTATACTAGGTAATGAACCACATCTTTGACAAGAGGTTCGGGGCCAAAGAGCATACCTTTGAAATTGCAAGTTCGATTGAGAGGCATCTGTGCATGCGCCTGGCTGTCCCTGAAGTGTTGAGTTGACTAAATCACGGCAAAGTAGGAGAAGTCGAATGAATGCTACAACCTTCTTCCTTTTCCTGTGAATTGAGCTTTTGTTCTAGTAAAAATAGAAATTTTCATCACATTAGCTGTTGTAAAAAGTTTAGAGTATATTTTGTGTCCTGTATTATTGTTGTATTATTTAAATATATTTTTGTATGTATATTCAGCGATTCCTTGCAAGTTGGACGAATTGAAGACAAAGATATCACCAGACAAATTTGAAATACAACAGCAGACAGACACAGTGGCTGTTGGTGACAACGTCCCCATATCTTGCCAACGTGGTTACAAGTTGTCATCCAGGACCAATGTTACGTGTGAAATCGGCTCTGTTTGGAAGAGTATCAGTGCCAGTTCAAGGTGTGACGCCATCACTTGCAACAGTGGCAAGATTGAGATTGAGAATGGCGAGGTTGGACTAGCGCACAACACATCAGTTGGATCAATACGTTCACTGACCTGTGATTCTGCATTTGAGAAATCACCCAGTGCTTACCAGATCATGTGTAATGAAACTGGCTATTGGTCTACAGTCGTGGAGTGCAGAGGTAGGTCCTGGTACTATGCTATTGTTTATCTCACAAACTGAACATAGGCATAGCTCTTGCCACATGAGTGTGCATGTACATGTGTGCTCTTATGTGTGTGTGTGTGTGTGTGTGTGTGTGTTTGTGTGTGTGTGTGTGTGTGTGTATGAGTGTTTGCACACTGTAAAGTTCCGTGTATACGCTCACTCGAAATAACGCCCATGCCCGAAAAACGCCCATCGAATCGACATCCACACTCAAAACTCGTGAGTTCGCCCATGCCCGAAAACCGCTCAGGATGATGCTGTACCTGTGTATGCGTATGTGTGCAAAATGTTATGCATGCTTATGAAAACGCAAGCGATGCAATATGCACCGTGCATAGGCCCGGTCCTGAAATAACGCCCATGCCCAAGTATACGCCCAGTTTTCAGACTCTTGTTCTGTTTATGCCCGGGGCTTATTTACGGAACTTTATGCGCGTAGGCTTTTGGCCCTGTATCTGTGTGTGTGTGTGTTTATACCGTGTGTGTTTATAAACGTGCCTACACATGACAGGTGGCGGAATTGCACTATAAAGTAACAATAGAGAGGTTCTGCATAACGCAAATTCGTACAAACTTTCGTGAACAGCGTGACGAAAATTTGTGCGAAATTTCGCACGAACTTTGTGTTCTGCACTTTTTCGCAGTACGCGATATTCGCACGTAGATCTACGCATATGCATACGCAATCTCATGCACGTTGTACAGCCGTGCCCGCCACGTGGCGACACCCACGTGGAACCAAACAGCGTATTTTGAAAAGTGTATACTACAATTGCAGTAACTATATTCATTGCAGCACCCGATAGACTCTATTCACTTCTACTTGCTTCATCAGTGCAGGACACGAGATTTGTTGTGAGCTTGGTTGTGTTAGAAGTTGGCTTGGTGAGAACGATGAACGTAGCGGAAATAAGTGGCGAAGAGAAAAGTGCAGTGCTCTGCTGCTTATTCCTGCTAGCTCATGACGAGGGGGACTTGGATGATGAGGAATTGCTGATGCTGATCGGCGGTGTGGAGCTGTGTGCTGCCCGTGGCCTCCTTGTAGGCCCCCAGGAAATTGGAATTCGGCTGGATTTCAACTTGCTGGATGATGATGTTTTGTCTTCGTCAGTTCAGATTTACGCATCGACAATTGGAAGAGCTTTTCATAGCGTTACAAGTTCCACATAGATTTCGAGCTCCATGCAGGACCACGTGGAACGGAATGGAGGGTCTGTAGCGTGGCCCAAGTGGTTGGGCACACAACAACCAACAAGTCTAACCAGAGCAAGGAGAAGTGGTTGAAGAAATGAAGGATGATCTTTCTTCAGAGACAGAGCTTTTTATATGTGCCAAGACTAAGAGAGTTCAGGTTTCACATAACAACGAGCAACGGTTTAGACCAATCAGGAGATAGAGAGATGGCACAGATTCGGCCAATCAGAAGACATGTATTGGAAGAAAGTAAAGAAAAAAGGAAAGCTTCTGAAAAAGGTAGGTTCGAACTTCATATGCAAAGGATACTAGTCTTATTACTGTACAGGTTTTAACACACCAAGCTACAGTGACACAGGCACTAGACTACAATGCAACAGGTACAAGGTTGAAGAATCTGCATGCTCTACATGGCCCCCTCCCAGATTGAATCACGTCCTCGTGATAAGGTGAATATTGTACAAATAAAAATAATGAAACGAAAGAACCCAAGGAAGAAGCTATATAAACTGTGTGTTAAATGCAACCCAACACTATATCTAAAAAACTCAAATCTCAATCTCTCAAATCTTCACAAGAAAATTGTACATATCAATTGTTCTTGGCTCTCATTGACGGTATCGCACCGGCCTCTGGAGATTTGCCCGATTGCGTAAGTTATACCCACCTGCCTGTGGCATGATCAGAACGGCCGGCACAACGGGAGCTGCCGGAACAGCCGGGACTGGAACAGCCGGAACTGGAACAGCTGGAACTGCCGGAACTGGAATAACCGGAACTGCCGGAACCGGAACAGCCGGAACTGCGTCTTGCACGTAATCAATTAGCGCCGGTTGAGGTAGGTGTGCTGGCACTGGAGCGTGCTGCTCCTCCGGTACTTGAGTTGTTGACTTGAGCCGGTTGATGTGTACCACCTGGAGTTTCCCTGTATCACAGTGCTCAATCCTGTACACCACGTCATTGATCACCTCGACAACTCTATACGGCCCGGTCCATGGCTTGAGGAACTTCTTTGTGTTGCCTGCTTTCACAGCTGGGTTGTGTAAGCGCACCTTGTCATTGATCGCAAACCGTGGCTTGGTCGTCTTTGCATCATAGTAGTCCTTCTGACGTTTCTGTGCTTTAGCGCCAGCTGATCGAGCGTGAGAAAATGCCTGCTCGATTTGTTCTGGGCAGTGGTCCCATGATGTCCATAGCGACACGTTGCAGTGGAAAGGATGGTTGGTCCACCTTCATCGGAGCGCGAGCGGTTGGTGCTGGGGTACGCCTAGCTGAACAAAGCGCACACGCCTTGCAATGCAGCTCAATGTCAGACGACATAAAAGGCCAATAGAATCTAGCTTTCACCTTCTCTAGAGTACATTCAGTAGCGAGGTGGCCACCACTACACTCATTGTGCATCCCGGTCATAATTCTCTGTCGCAAACTGACAGGTACAACAAGCTGCAGAAATGAGTTGCTACCATCTACTGAAGTGTACGTACGATACAATAAGCCATCTTGCAGAACCAGCCGTTTCCACTGACTCCACAGACGTATCAAGGTTAATGATGCTCCTTTCATAGCACTATCACTGCGTTTAGGCCTGTCTAACAATGCTTGTTGCCAACCAATCATGCAGTCAATGTCACTGTCTTCCGCTTGAGCTCTGCGAATATCTTCTGCACTAAAAAAATCTGCCCAATTGCTTCCAAGTAAATTGCTATCATCATTCGCATGTTCTGCAGGTTGTGATTCAACGTCAACATTACCCACGTATGCTTGATGTCCAGAATCCTGCGTCAATGCATCACCAGCTGCTGTATCCGGAGAGACTGATGGCACGGCTGTAGGGACAGGAATGGAAGACTGGGAAGGACAGACAACAGTAATATTTGGATCCATTACTGAAGGCTCGGCAGTGGCCGATGCAGGATGCTCCGAATTGTCCGCAGGTTGGCTATGGAACCGTGACAATGCATCTGCGTTGGCATGCTGAGTACCTCTACGGTGGACAGTTGTGAAATCGAACGCTTCTAGTTTCTCCAACCATCTCGCCAGGATACCTTCCGAATCCTTGAAAGACTTCAACCAGAGAAGGGCTTTGTGATCGGTTCGCAAGGTAAAGTTTGCACCCAGCAAATAATGTTTGAAGTATTGCACAAAGAAGACCACTGCATACATCTCACGCCGAGTTGTGCCGTAGCGACGTTGGCTCTTACTAAGTGAACTACTAGCATACGCAATTACCTGCTCTCTGCCCTGATCGTCAACCTGCGATAGAGTTGCACCAATACCAGTGTCAGAAGCATCCGTGTCCAGGATAAACTTGCGGGATGGATCCGGGTACGTCAGGACAGGGAATGACGTGAGCTTCTGCTTCAGGATATCGAACGCTTGCTGACACTCATCCGTCCACGAAAAGCTTGCCTGTTTCTGCATTAGCTTGTGTAGCGGTGCTGCAATTGTCGCGAAGTCCTTGATGAACCGCCTGTAGTAGGAAGCAAAACCTACAAATCGACGAACCTCGGTTGCAGAGCTAAGTGGTTTGAGACTGGTGACCGAACTGCAATTCTTGGGATCAGGGCTCACACCACCTCCCTTGAACACATGCCCAAGATACGTAACCGACTTGCTCAGAATCTGGCACTTACGAGGCTTGACCTTCAAACCTGCTGCCCGGAATTTTTCAAATACTAGGCGCAGTCTAACCAGATGTTCTTGAAATGTTTTCGAGAAAGTTATGGTGTCATCTATGTACGCTGAACATACGCTTGGCACAAGATCACCCAGAACCATGGTCATCAGGCGCTGGAAAGTTGCTGGGGCATTGCACAACCCAAATGGCATGACTTTCCATTCAAACAATCCAAATGGAGTGACAAATGCTGATTTCGCCCTTGCTGCATTAGTTAGCTCTACCTGCCAGTAACCGGATGCAAGATCTAGGGTTGTGAAATACTGTGCGTCACCCATGTTGTCTATCGCATCATCAATCCCCGGAATGGGGAATGCGTCTCTGACAGTTACAGCATTGAGTTTGCGATAATCGACACATAGTCTAATAGCTCCATCAGGCTTCCGAACAACAACAATATGGGCTGCCCAAGGACTGTTGGAAGGATCGACTAAACCCTCAGCTAAAAGCTGCTCAACATGTTCACGAACCTCATTTGCATGGTGAAGCGGCAATCGTCTTGGGGCTTGGCGAATAGGCTGGCTGCTAGTGGTCTCGATGTCGTGTTTGGCAACACCGGTAGAGCCAAGATCCATTGCTCCCGTTGAAATTATGTCGCTGAACTCCGAGAGAAGAGACCTGACGGCTGCTGCCTCTTCTGTATCGAGATGACTAAGGTCAAACAACTCAACAGGGTCAGAACACATCTCAGCAGCATTACAGCTTTCAGCAGTACAATCACGCTCATCCGCGGCTTCTGCGGCTTTCTCAACAAAGCAAGATTCGAACATGCCAACAACTGTACCCTTGTTTATAGTGACAGGCCGTGGTAGCAGGTTCTGCAACCTGACAGGAACAGTACTGTTCTCACTCACGGTCGTGACCACTCTAGCTGCACTGACACAAAATTTATCTACGAACGACTCTGTTGGCTCTACCATTCCGCACGATGGAGACATAAACTCAGTGTCACGTAATCTACCTTGCGTTATCAACTGAGAATAGCCCTGTAGAACAACAGATTCAGCCAATTGCACTGGAATGGGGTCTGTTTCCACTCTCTGACATGAAAGGTGCTTGGGCCCAACTCCCTGTGTTAATGGAAGGGTCTGATTGCTCAAGCG